TCGTCTTGCGGACGTGATGTCAATGAGGAAAGCCGCCTTCATGGATAAGTGTAACAAAGAGCAAGTTGCAAGGGGTTCAAACAGTTTTTCTATGTGTCCGTGTAAAACAAGGTTGAGGTCCCATGTGGGTGTAGGGTTTCTTAGGGTGGGATAAGTGTTTTCAATGCCTTTTAGGAGGTGTTTAATCGTCAGGTGAGCAAACATAGTGACCCCGTCCACCTTGTCATGGAAGGAGGTAATAGCAGCCAAGTGTACTCTGATGGAGCTTGTGGATAGCCCCGATTTTTTAAGTCCTAATAATAGTCGAGGATCCTCGGTAGGGGGGGGAAGACTGTGGTACAATCTGTTTGTCTTGACACCAGGTGCAGAATCGTTTCCACTTATGGATATATGTCTCTCTTCTGCTTGGTCTCCATCTGTTCAGTAATATATCTTTTACTTCCTCAGAAAAGGCCTTCTCGACCCCAGTCACCCATGGAGTAAACAGGCATTTAGGTGGAGTACTCCAAGGTTGGGGTGACGGACACGTCCCGCATCTTGTGATAGAAGGTGAGGTACTAAGGGAAGGATTTGAGGCGGTTTCATTGCCATCAGATGCAAGTATGGGAACCACGTCTGTCTGGGCCATGTGGGTACAATGAGAATGATCCTGGACTTCTCCTCCCTTATCTTGTGAATGACTCGGCTTAGGAGTGGAGTCAGAGGAAATGCATATATCAGTGGCGCCTCACATTTTATGAGTAGAGCGTCGTCTAGGGAGTGGTGTCCCAATTCCGTCCTGGAGCAATATTGTGGGCACTTAGATCTATTTGCAACAGCTCAGAATGCCATGGTAGGGAATCCCCATAGTGTAAATATGGATTTGAGAATTCCAGGATCCATCTCCCACTCGTAGGTTTGTGAAAAATCTCTGCTTAGTGGATCCGTTGTTGTATTCTGACATCCCAGCAGATAAGATACCGATATCTCTATTGTTGGTGATGCACCAATTCCAAAGACGTATTGTCTCCATACATAGGGAATCATAGAATCATAAAATATCAGGGTTGGAAGGGACCTCAAGAGGTCATCTAGTCCAACCCCCTGCTCAAAGCAGGATCAATACCCAACTAAATCATCCCAGCCAGGGCTGTCTCAAGCCGGGCCTTAAAAACCTCCAAGGAAGGAGACTCCACCACCTCCCTAGGTAACGCATTCCAGTGCTTCACCACCCTCCTAGTGAAATAGTGTTTCCTAATATGCCATGTAACATCTCTGTAAAGGCTATGATCTACTGAATACATTCCTCCTATTTGTATGCATGTATCATTTTTGTGGTCAAAGTTATGAATATTGGCTGTGTACTTGCTTGATTTCTAAGTAACCTTAGTAAAGCATTTAGTCAGCTTCTTGAGAAAGGAATGTGCAAGTTAAGTGCCCAATCAAGAAACACTTAATGGACAATTATCAGAGGGGTAGCCGTGTTAGTCTGGATCTGTAAAAAGCAACAGAGAGTCCCATGGCACCTTTAAGACCAGCAGATGTATTGGAGCATAAGCTTTCATGGGTGAATGCCCACTTGCATCCGATGAAGTGGGCATTCACCCACGAAAGCTTATGCTCCAATACATCTGTTAGCCTTAAAGGTGCCACGGGACTCTCTGTTGCTTTTAACGGACAATGGATCTTGGAAGGGTCCAAACCACATAAGAAGTCTACTTGAGGATGTTCAAGGTAGCATGTGAACCATGGCTGCTACCTGTAAGTTCTGAGTCATGCATGGACATATGACTTGCCCATGTGACTCCAAAACTCCATCTTGTAGCTGCAATTCTACACCTGGGGAGGGAGGGGTGTCCACTCACAAGAGAAAGTCTATTTAAACCCCTGGGAGACCCCTCCATT